TCGCCGGAGCAGCCGCAGCCGAGCGCACCGGCCCGCCTCGCCGGGGCCCAATCACCGGCGAGAACTCCCAACCAACAAAAAATCGGGCGCCAAATTCCCGTGATCCGCGGCGGCCCCCGGGTCTCAGCTGCCGCCCGCGCGCCGCCGCTCCCTCTCCGCGTCCGGCCTGCCTGAGGACTAGCCGCACGCGGCCGGCGCCCAATAAATACCCCGCTGGCCCGGGCCCATCATGGGTTTCATCTGCAAAGTCGACAGACTGGGCCTTGCTTCTCAGGAATGATAGGACCAAGTGAAAAAAATATGAAGTGACTAATCGGGTGCGGGGCTGCGTGTTGGTTCTCAGAGTAAAACTCCATGTAGGCATGGATTTTTGAATATTTTCTTCACGGCTTTGTACCCCAATGCTTAGTGGGCGCCCAATACCAGAACCTACAGCGTGCTAGGTAGGCACCGTTCTGAGTCTCTGGCAAAGGAGCGATCGACAAGACAGCCTTTGCCCTGGTGGAGACAAACCACATGGGCGACCTTGAGCAAGTTAATCAACCTTGTGTGTTCCTCATCTGTAAGAGGATTCAAGGGTTGTACAGTTAAAGCACTTAGCACAGGACAGGCTCGCACCCGATAAACATGACGATGAAATACGTGCACGGGATAATTTTTGCCAGTGAAAAGTGTGATGGCGGAAAACAATAAGAGTGCCTGGGGGTTGGACACAGGGTACACCTGATAGTGTGTGGTCACTGAAAACCTCTGTAACATTTTTTGTGATAAAATGTCCAATTTACACATGAATAGCAAGAATAGGAAAAAACTCATTTGAACTAGAATAACAAATTGTTATAATGTGACATTCCCATATCATTCTCTTGTATGTATGTATATCCTTTTTTCCTAAATCATGTATTTATTTTGAGACAGAGTCTCACTCTGTCATCCAGGCTGGAGTGGAGTGGCACAATCACCACTCACCGCTGCCTTAAATTTCTGGGCTTAAGTGACCCTCCTGCCTCAGCCTCCCAAGCAGGTGGGACTACAGGTGTGCTCCACCAAGTCTGGCTAATTTTTCTATTTTTTTTTTTATAGAGACAGAGTCTCATTTTGCTGCCCTGACTGGTCTCGCACTCCTGACCTCAAATGATCCTCTTGCCTTAGCTTCCCAAAGTGCTCGCATTACAGGCGTGAGCCACTGCACCCAGATCTAAATTATTTTAGCATTTCTGACACCATGCTCCTTTATTCCAAATATTTCTGTGTGTTTCTAAGAAAAGACATTCTCTTGCATAATCTCAGGACAATAGTCAAAATCAAGAATTTTAACAATGATTCAATTATTTTATTTAATACACTATCCATATTTAAATTTTGCTAATTACCCCAATAATATCCTTTATAACTGTTCCCCAGGATCCAATTAAGAATCACATGTTGCATTTAGTTATGTCTCTTGTTTCTTTTAATCTGGAAAGGCAGTTAGTTACCCAGTCTTTCTTTGTCTTTCAGTGTTCTGTAGTAAAATCACAGCAGTGGTTGTCTTTCAGGTGGGAATTGACAGCTGAGGGGAACAAGGGAATTTTCTGGGTGATAGAATTTTATTGTGTGTGAATTATACCACAGTAAAGTTTAAAAAGTGAAAAAAACAGCCGGGCTAGGTGGTTCAACCTGTAATCCCGAGCCTTTGGGAGGCTGAGGTGAGTGGATTGCCTGAGCCCACGGGTTCGAGACCCGCCTGGGCAGGC